CAAGAACGCGAAATGGCTGAACGTGAAGAACGTGAGAGAGCTGAACGTGAAGAACGTGAAAGAGCTAAACGTGAAGAGCAGGAACTCCTGCGACAAGAACGCGAAATTGCTGAACGTGAAGAACGGGAACGTAAGCGATTAGAACGTGAAAGAGCTGAACATGAGGAACAGGAACGCGAACAATTGGAGCGCGAGGAACAGGAACGTGAACAATTAGAACGAGAAAGAGCTGAACAGGAGGAGCGTGAACGTACAGAACAACTAAGACGAGAGCGAGAAGAACAAAAAAGATTAGATGAAGAAAAACAACGTGCAGAAAAAGAAAGATTGAGACGACAAAGAGAGGAAGAGGAGGAGTTGCTTAGGCAAGAACGCTTGAAATTAGAAGTATGTAATTTTTGATATAAATGAATTAATTTTATATTTACCGGTATTTCTTTATGGATGATGGAAATTTATTTAAATACTGTGTACATACGCAGGAGGAGGAGCTACTTCGCCAGCAAGAATTGGCAAGTGCCGAGGTATTATCTAAATCTTCAAAGCAATGCTTAATATTTCTTATTAGTTTTCATTTAAGAAATTGTTTTTTCAATTTTACGCACAATTTAGGCTACAGAAACCCAAACCCTTTCAGCACGTGTTATTTATCCCTATGATGCTGGTAAACATATTATTTTCTCATTTCTTTTATATTGCATATATTTTTTAAAAGACATTTTGAATATCTTTATTATTTTAGCCGAAGATAATGAAATGTCGTTAATAGAAGGCGAAATAATTGTAAACATCAGCCAAATAGATGACGGTTGGTGGCAAGGTGAAAGTAAGGATGGTTCTCGTTATGGGTTATTCCCTGGTAAGCAGCATTTATTTTATATGAAGATCTTCTTATTATCTGTACTAAATCGATTATGCAATAAAGCAAATTATGTGGAGTCTATTGAGGGTGAAACTGAACTCACAACCGAAACGGTAAGAATAGCAGTCATTTTGGCTAATGCAAATATTACCAAACATTATGGCCTAAAATTTAATATTTTCTTGCATCAAGCATGAACAAGACGAACCCGAGCCTGAACCCGAGCCTGAACCTCAGCATGAGCATGGGCAAACCGCTGGAAAGTCGGCCAAAGCCCTCTATGATTATGATGCCGGTGAGGATAATGAAATTTCATTTAAGGAGGATGATATTCTCAATGATATTAAATTTGTATCGGAGGATTGGTGGCAAGGTACATCACCAGATGGTATAATTGGACTCTTCCCGGGTAAGTAATTCTTAAAGCAATTTGTTAAGCAATTTTTTTCTTTCTTTTTGATATTTATTTCTTTTTTATTTACAGCTAATTATGTGGAGTTAATTTAACATTAAGTTATCATGTAAAATTAGTTTTTTTTTTATAATTCTATTGAGTATATAATTTTAAATCAGGTTAATGAAAATAAGGCATCATGTAAAATAAGTATAAGCTAGTATTGTAAAATCCGATGTTAGCTATCAGTGATGTGGCAAATACTTATAAAAGCTTATTAAAAGCTTGATCATAAAATAATATACTGTAGATTTAAACTATCCTAATAAAAGAATTTTATTTCAATTTAGATAGGTATGTGTTATACATACTAATAGTATTTGTGGGGGATGATGCTGGGAATCGGATGATGCTGGGAATTTGAATTATTTTAATATAAAATTTTAAAAATTTTTGGGACATTTTTTTAGCCTTTTTTTT